GATCTTTTCAACAACTTTTTTTTTTATTAGTTTTTTTAGTTAAAGTATATCACTAAAATTAATTCAGTTCATATTTCAATTTTAGAATCTCTTTAAACGCCAAAAGTTACTTAGAAATGATTCCTATTTAAGTGTTCTATTAAAATAAAAATGCAAAAAAATAATAAGTTTTTCTGATAAATATACTGTAAATAGTAATTATAAAATTTCCTGACTGTATATTATTCTTAACGATATAATTATTTTAATTCTCATAAAATTTCCTATTTACATAATAATAATAATAATAATAAATTGACATCATCAATATCAAACTTGCAAATTGAGCTATAAGAAGTTATAGATATATATATATATATTTTTTAATTATAAGCTTTCAAAAAAATCAACTTTAAAGAATTAAAAAAATAGGTTAAATATGTCATTTTTCTTATTTTTAACATATAAATAATCAAAGTCAGTATTAAATTAAAATATATATTTTTTTATATTTAAATACTTATTTTTTAATAATAAGTAATACTATTAAAACTTAGAAGTAATAGAAAAAGTTTAATTGCACATTTGAAAACATCGTGAAAAGTTGATTTAGAAAAGTATATTTTTGTTTCTGATGAAAGTTCCTTTTAGTCTAGTGTATTTATTTATAAGTAACAAAATTTTTTTATTAAAAAGTATTGCATCAATACATTTAAATTTTTATATGCATTAAAAGTATATGAATATACAACTCTTTTTTATTTTTATAATATCTCTGTAAAAATTACAATATTATATTATTGAATATAAATTTCATACTAAATTTAATTACTGTAATTATTATGTATTCATATATTATAATTATAAATCAAGATAAAATAAAGGGAATAAGTGTTATTGTTGTTTTTGAAATAATGTACCAATTTCTTAAAATGAAACACTATCTACAGATTTCTATTGAAGCGTTTCTTATGATAGTGATTTTAATCACTGTCAGATATCATCTATAGTTGTCCTAACTATGCCACGTCCATACTGTGCTACCGTTTTTTTCAATTTTTTTTTTTAATTCACTGGACTTCGAACAATTTATATTTATTTAGTTCAATGATCTATTGATTAATAAAGTCAAATATTTTATTTTTCAGAATTTAATCATTTACTAATGATCAATTTTTTACGAATTGTGCCATGTTAACAAATCATTTTAACACATTTGTCAGTGAAAATATTCAATCAGTGGCACTGTCTAAACAATTGCAATACAGGTTAGAAAAATAATTATTTCTAACTAGTTTAAAAGAAATTAGAGGAAGAAAGTTAGAAGAAAAATCCCCTAAATATTGATTAAAATATTAGTATTTAATTCTATTTAAAGGGATTATTATTTATGATAGTGTATTTAACCTTCCCAATATTTGATCAAAGTTGCTTGTGTAAATGAATCATCATATCCTCCTAATATATTAAAAGTAAAATATTATCATAATAGAAAATTAAAATTAGAATAAATTAAATCATAGTTCATAGTTCATATATTGTCTTTTTTACAAATTTATTATTAGTATTTTTAACTTAAACAACAATAAAATGTTAAATATATTTTTATAAGACTTCTTAAAGAATATGAAACATTTTTTGTTGTTTGGTTAACTCATTAGATTTTTTGCTTTTTTTTTTGTAAGTCACTTATAGTTTTGATTTTATCTTTAAGTAATAAACATGTTTTAATTTTACTATAATTATTATTTAATATATGAAATATTGGTAAAGAATTTTGTGTATTTAAGAGTTTAACAAAAAATTAGTACAGAATAAAAATATGAATTTGGTTAATGTATGCATCATAAGTGTGCCTAAAAGATTTTAATTTTTCTTATTTAACTTGAGTTGCATTTGTGCAAAAGTTGCCCAAAATAAAGCAAATTGTATTTTTTTTTAACAATTTCATATGGGATCTATAAAAAAAATACATTAGGAGTTTATTTCTAAAATTGTTTCATTTCAAATCACAGAAGAATTCTTAAATACATTTTTCTAATGAGTATTTTAATCTAAAGATATTTATTTATATTTTGTTAATCAATTATGCACTCAGTATTTTTATTATTACAATTTTTATTTTATTAATATATTACTAATAATAAAGTACTCTCTATAACTCTAAAATCTTTGTTTTTGATTCTATTGTTTTAAAAACATANCTCTCTATAACTCTAAAATCTTTGTTTTTGATTCTATTGTTTTAAAAACATATTTTTTATGATTGATTATCTTATAAAATGAATATACTTACTGTATACTTATCTCAGTATAATATTGTTAAACATTTTAAATTGAATTATGGTAAAAAAAACCCAGCACAGGGGGGTCGCGGCACAGTGGTAACGTGGCATAGTTGGATCAAGTAAATGATATCTGACAGTGATTAAAATCACTATCAAAAATAAACGCTTCGATGCAAATCTTTAGATAGTGTTTAATTTTAAAAAAATTGGTGTTTTATTCCAAAAGCTACTTGATCTGCTGGTTCCTTATTAATATC